GTAGGTTAGTGTTTGGTTTAAGAGCTATCGTTATAGTAAAATTTTACGAGGAAAATTTTTGTTAGTACGTAGAAGGTATATTAATAGGAAAATTTTAAGCTACAGACGCTTTTTTATTACTAATATCATGAAATATGATTGGCCAGCAAAATTAATTAGGGTGGTGATTTAACCTCTATTCGAAATAACGCACAGGGGTGTAACTTTGATAATGGCCCGTATTAAGCCTAGTTTAGGCTAAAATTCGAAATTACACCCTTCCGCGTTATTTCATGGGTTTACGGTGTATATTTAATGCATGACATTAAGGCGCATTTGCAAATGCCCCTAAATTTGAAAATTTTGATTACTAATGTGTAAAAATAGATTTTACAGAGATAATCAACATCCTTCAAGTTATGATGCGTTATTTTCATAAAGTCCTAGGTCTAATAAGATGAGTCGAGTGGGGAAAATGTGTTAGACTCGTTATTGGTACTGATTAGGGGTTCAAAAACCTTTTCAGGATTTAATATTGATTAATTAATATATAATTTAGTAACTAAAATCTAAATTTGAAGACCAAATGATTGATTTGGTGATCTAATGCATCATAATGATTGCTTACAGATATCAATTAAACTAATAAAAATATCTAATGTGTGTACATTAAATTGGTTGAAGTTGAAATAAAAGTTTATAATTCTTATTTTATAAACTTTAAGATATTCAGTTCTTGGTACAAATATAATAAATTTTAATTTATATTTAAATGAGTTAGGTTTGATATTGTATCTAGATATTGAAATTTTAACTTAAATAATATTAGATAAAATTTAAATTTTTTTTTTTAAATATTAAGTTGAGTACTTGCAACTCAGAATTTTATTGATAGTATATTCAGCTAATGGTTGCATTACAATCACTAGAGGCAATTATGAAAAGAGTGTACAACTAGTCATTTATACAATTTTAGTCATTGTTAATTTAAGTAGTCCATTCAAAAGTTCTACACTAGCTGATATACCTAGAACCTGCTAGTAAGTTCTCTATTTAAATACTTTAGTTCCTGTATTCACTTATCTACCTACACTTACCAAGATGTTTTAGTCAATACTAATGCAAATATATTATAGTCACTAAGTCTTTAAAGTAATTTACTTATATGAAGAATCTTTGACTGTGTATTAAACCTTCTGAAATCTTTTGTATCCTATTTTTACAACTGATCCAGTATTACTATAGTTAAGATCAATACTTGCAATCAGAGTATATTATTAAACTACTATGTCTTTGTAGAGTTTACCCCAACCTCAGTACTGACTTTACAATATATCTTTACTGCTTTGGTATTTATTCAAGTTCTATTAAGTTTCCAAACCTGATAGTCTAAAAAAGCAGATTGTAATTATACACTTCTGATTTACATATTCTCTAATATATAATATTTTTCTTCAGACAAATTCTAGCAGCCTGTTAGTTCTATTCAGCTCTTTCTCAAAGGCCAGCTTTTTGTTTGATTTTATAAATTCTAGTTTTGTTTTATAGGTCTAGTCTTTATAATAATACTATTGAAAATTCAAGTTATTTTTTTATTTGGGTCTTCCAAATGGATTTCTGTCTTTTACCTGATTGTTATGATTTATATGATCTAAGGACTTATTATAGATTTATATTACTCAGTATCAGTTTGTATTTCTTTATACAACATTATATAAATACCTAAACCTTTTAGTTATGCTGATATAAAACAGATTATAGGTATTTAATTCTAACTAATTATAAAAAACAGTTAACTGTAATATAGAAAAAATTGCAAATTTTTACTATTACTAGGATTTGAACTCTAGACCTGCCATTTGGAGGTTGACAACCTATTTACTTCACTATATTACTACATCTTTTTAATAAAATTTAATTAAATACTGTAGATTGATATTATATAATTAAAATAACAATTTTAATAAAAATTTAATAACAAATACAAAAATAAAAAATTAATATTTTTAATAAAGAGTGTGGTAACTTAGTGAAGTGAATAACTTGTCAACTTCTAAATAGTAGGTTGTGAGTTCAAAACCCACCAATGGTGAAAATTTAAATAATCATTTATGTAATACATAGATAATAATATGGCAATAATATTCTGTTGATAAGTTGGAATAAGATACCTGTAACTATGATCATATCAGCATGACTGGCAGGTTATGAGGCTTTTGTATAACCTTAAATACATAGAGGAATGCAAACTGGTACTGAGTACTACAAACCTAAGATAAGTTCTTGTAGTTATATAAATCTATAAAATTGGGAAATTGGAGCCTACTTGAAAAAACCTGAATAGAGAAGTAATATAGATTTTCAACAGTACTACTGTAAAGGTTAGACCTAGGAAACAGATATCAATATAAAGGAGCTAAATGAACAAGAACCTCAGATGCAGAATATTATTAACCCAGTTACTGGAACCAAACTAGAGGAAAAGAATATTAGGTCAGCTTGATATACCAAAAACAGATCATAGTTCTTCTGAACTATCTGGATTAGGATTCTGAAGATAAAGCAAAGGTATACTATAAGTACTAAGAATATGTTATAAAGTAGATACTAGAATCTGTGTAAACTTTACAAGAGCTAGCTTTTTTAATGTTCTGTAGAGTAGGTAGATAGTTAACAAGAAAGTACTCCAGAACCTTACAGTTAAATGACATACTCTAAAATGTATAACAGCTTAACAGATGTTCAAAAGAATAAGGCTAAATGTTGAGTTAAATAGCACTTAGATGTATAGAAACTAGGTGCTACTCATTTGTATGCAGTATAAGAATCAGAGTGTTTAAATAGGTACCCTCCTAGTAGGGTACAGGTATGACAGTTAATGTAGAACTCTCAGGCAGACTACTTAAAATAGGTAACTAAAAGTTACATATATGACTAGTTGCACATTTATCTTGTACAAGTCATATGTAATGCATTGACTAAAAACACAATAAAGGTAGTAGCTACTGATAATATTGGTCTGAACAAAAAAAAAAAACATATTTCTAATAAAAAAAAATTTATTAGTTTTAAATAATATTTTTTTAAAAAAAATTTAATCTAATTATTAAGTTAAACTTATTATAATTCTGAATTTATAATTGTTTTCTTAATATAACAAAATATTATTTCTTTTTTAGTTATACTTTAGCTAAGATTTCTAATTTAATATATACTAGAAAAATAAAAACTGTTATAAGTTTAAAGCAAAATTATATAAAATTTATTGTATTATATAAATATTCAAATAAAAATAAACAGAAAATTCAAAGTATGTTTTTGATCTTATTATTATGAATGCATTAATAATAATACTTTTTATATATTAAAAATATAACTTTTGTATTACTTTGTATAGAAATTAAACAATTTCAGAGCTTAGGATTGATTTTTTGTTCATGTAACTTCTGATTCATAATCTACATTGTGCATACATTTTGATTCTTAATTTTTTTATTTTTTTGGTATTAAGGTGAAGCCTTGCTCATATCTTTATTAGTAATTTTAGTTGTACATATTAATATACTATATATTAAAGGTTAATAAAAAGTTAATTTATATACTGTTACTATCTTAAACTATTTGTTTACTGCTATATAGTAAAGTAAACTACTATATTTTTATTTTATATATATTTGTAATAGTCAATTATTATATCAGATAATCTTGTTACTTGATTGTATTGTATTAAAAAGATTGCAACCTTGTAACACTATTAAATTAGAACTATAGTAAATTGTTTTAAACTTTAACTAAAAATTTCTCAATAACTATTTAAACAAATTTGATAAATATTGTTTATTTTATTTTTATAAATCTGTAAAGTTAAAATAAAAAAAAATTATATAATTTGCTTATAAAGAATTAAAACACTATTAAAAATAAGAAACAGTATTTTAAAATTATATATAAACTTAATAATAATTTTTTTTATATTTAATTTTATAAAAAATTGTATTAAATAAACTAATTTTAATTATTAAATAAAAATTATAAAGTAGGTTTTCTGATTCTAATAATAATAAAATTATTAAACTTAGTTAAAAGTTCATTAAAATATAAATTTTTAAAGATTAGAATATAAAATTATATAATAAAATTAACTTATAAGTTTATGTAAATTAACCAATCAAATTCTTTGTTTTTGTACTATCTAAGCAAATTTTAATCTACTTAATTGTTAAGTAAACTTTATCATATATACAAGTATTTTTTTTAAAATAATACAATAGTAATATAAAATTTTTTTATTAATTAATTAAAAAATAAAAAAATTTTATTAATAATATATATCAATTTTAAGCAAAAATTTTAATATACCATACAACACTATATAAAAATAATCTACGTGCCCCTACTATTAAATTAGAACAGTAATGAAGATATCTTGACCACTGCCTAAGCAAATTAGACAAATTTTTTTATTTTAATTCTACAGACCTGTAGAATTCAAGTAAAAAAAGGTTCATTGAACTTAGATAATTGTCGAGGCACCTTGAAAACATTAGTGTATTAAAATTCACGATTTGATTGGCTGAGCTAGTAAATTAGCTTTATCAATTAGATTTTTAAAAAAACTACTGTATAATTTTTTATACTAAGTCTAGTATCTTTATAACAAGTATAATTTTAATAATAATGACAAACTATTAAATATTAAATCAAACTTTATAACAGATTATTTAGGTTTTATTTTTTTTAATATTGGATACTAATACGACCGGCAACCTTAACATCAATACTAGAATTAGCATGGAAAATCGTATTTTAAAATTGGAAATTCTAATATTCATTTTATTCGCATTGATTAGTCTGAACATAAAAGTTATTCACATTTAAATTCATGAATCGCACAAATAACGTGTAATACAAATGATGAATGGTGTGAAGCATGATCGATCACTTATCGACTGACTACAAACAAGTCAAAAATCATTCCCGAATTGGTCATAATCTCTACCAGTTAACGACACTGATGTTCTTTATTTTTTCTCATTTTCACTGTCTTTGCCATCATTCTCCTTTCGATTATTGTTATTTCCTGAAAATCCCTGCTGAAGAACATTCTGAATTCTTGGATCATGGGTATCTACTCCCGGTAGGGATTGCAGCACCGAATTCATAACTTCATCCGATACGACAATCTAAGAAAAAAATATTAGTATTCAATCATTAATGAGACTTTTCATAATCAACAAAAAGTAAAAATATTATACCCCATCACCACTTTGCATTGACATTTCAATGGCACGGGCCATTTGCTCTTCTTCAGTTAGCTCTTCCATTTGAATATCCCCATCCTATTAATAATAGGATAATATTAATCACAGTAACTATAGCTTTACAATTGAACTAAAATCTATACATGCATTTTCTGAAGCCGATGGTTGTGCCAAAGAATCTTCATTTCTGTTTGATGAATCGCCACTCGTAATTGGTTGATCAACAGCCATTGTTGTTGACTCTGCCTCTTGATTGGCAACCCCAGCAGTAGTATTTTTTGATTTTGCAGCTTCAGCTTCTTGTCGTACCTTTTCTTCCTCTTGCCGTTGCTTTTCTTCTTCAAGCGAAATGCGTAATGCCTATGGACAAGCGACAAAAGTACATGGATTATGATACATTAAATAATTTTAAAAATATGATTGATAAATAATAGATTCAATAAAATAAAGATATACCATCGCCAATTCGGGATCGAGATTTGGATCGACGCCGAATTCATAACTACCACCACTACCAACAGTAAATCCAGCAGGAACGCCACCATCTTCACCTGCTATTATTGGGGATAATATCAAAATATCACTAAGAATATGCGGACCAGGAGGGACCGTGACAAGATGACTAAAATATAAACATAAGTCAGTAACAATGCCATAATGAACACACGCATAATTAATACGTGCCTATTATCACCACTTTTGACCGCACTCACAAAGGCATCTAATTTAGCAGTATTTTCGGCTTCTTCCCCGAAATTGATGATATCTACAGCAATATTGTTCTTTTTTGTCCTTTTAGCTAACTTTACTAAAGTATTTTTGTCAGTATCAATCGGACTGCCCACAAATACTATGATTCGTTGTCTTTGATTTTTATTTTGTCTATGCTTAAGTGCAAGCTGTATTTAAATAAAATTAATAACGAAATTTAAAAAAATCACAAAACGTTACCTAAGTAATAGCTAATAAAGGTACCTGAGCAATTTGAATACCAGTTGTAAAATTAATTTTACCTCCAATTTGTGTTTTATGCAGTGCGGTCAGTATTTTGCCATGGTCTGAGGTTAAGGTAACAAGGACTTCGGGGCTAAAGAGAAATAAGTATAAGTAGAATCAGCAATTTACCGCAACCAAACACTTTCAACAGGAGCCATACCTTTTGCCGGCCATAGTTAGCATTCCAACAGTATTTTCTGGATTTTGTTGTGTTTTCGAGCTAAATACGAGATTAACAGCATCCTTTTGTGCCTCTAAACGAGTAGGCGTGTAATCACCATTACGCATCCATTCAGAGTTGTCCAAACTGTATTTAATTATAATAAGTATACTAATAAAAATCATTAGAAAACAGGTTAAAGAATACACACACTATCATAGTAGCTTCGAGAACCATTTTGAAAGAATTAAATTTGTTTTCTAAACTGTGTACGTACTTACGTACAGTACGTATGTGTTTGTATGATTTCATTGGTTGAACAGAAAATTTTTGATTGGCTAGAATCAAAGATCGACTTCACGGTACTTCTGTTACGATTGATAATTTCGATCTTCACTTTGACACTTTTAAATCGAATATAACAAGATTTCTTTTATAGTATGTGCGAGTGAGTTCTTATTATGGGGGTTTTTTTCGTGACCTTCTTTGGTCATTGACTTTATTAATGTTTTCTTGGAGTGAGGCGTTTACACATTCAGAACAAAACAATTAGTGTTGGTAAAAAACTTTTCAATCGATTAAGGGTAGAGTACATGTAGATCATTTGTTATATGATTTTGGTGTACAAAAAAAGTTTATAACCAAAATTTATAAAATTTAAATAGTATATAGATTAAATCTGTATCTTTATATATATATATATATTTGTTTTTTCGATATTAAGGTGACCTCTTTGGTTTTGACTTTTTATTAATACTTATATTGGGTACATGTTTTATATAGATGTATTCATATTGAACTATCAAACAAGTGTACAACTGATTACATATGTAACTTTTCTATATTACCTATTTAAGAAGTCCATTTGGAGGTTCCTTACCAGTTGTTATACCTAACATCCTTGCTTAGATATTTCATTTAAACCTTCTGATCTGATCCTAGTATTAATTTTATTAGATTACAAACTCAGATTTATTTGTTTTTAACTATAGGATTATAATCTTTAGACTATTTTTATTCTTGAAATAAACTTACCAGAGTGTATTGTATTCCTTTTTACTACTAATCTGATTTAACACTATGGTTGAGATCAATACTTGTAATCAAGATTATTTATTAAACTATTATTACTCTTATAAAGTTTATTCAAACCCTAATACTTATCTTTTTAACTTCTTCTTTATCATTTCTTATTAGTTGCAACTTGGAATTAATAACAGATTCCTCAGACTTTCAATTCAGATAATTCAGTATAGTATACTTATATATCTTTTTCTTTTAGTAATTCTGGTAGTCTGGTTGGTCATATGCTCTTTTATATATCTTGTTATCTAGTTTATTTAACAGTTTCTATAAAGGTGTTTTATGAACTTCTATTGATCCAATAATATCATTAAAAGTTTGTACTATTTTTTTACTTAGGATTTCTAAATAGGTTTCTGTTTTTTCAGTTTCTTTGTCTTTTACATTTGGTAATCTTATTATAGATTTATATTGAAGTTTTATATAATATCTGTTTTCATATTTCTCTATATACATGTAACATTACATTTCATATAAATATTCTAAGGTTCCAATATCAGGTAGGATTTAACTTGGTGTATTTAAGATTACAGATACTCAAAACCTAACTAATCAGCAAGAGATAATTATCATAACACAGATATAATTTCCAAAATTTATTATTTATAAAAATTAAACCTTAGATCTATCACTTGAGAGTTGATAACTTATTTATTTCATTAGGTCACCACATCCTTGTATCTTTATATTTGTAAAGTTTTAATATCTATATTATTGTCTAGAGCATAGTAAAGAACTTATATTTTAGATATTTAGCTAACTTTTATTTGTCTGTTCACTTACATGACTATATAATATCACATGACACATACTAGATGTCTAAGCTAAATTTTGTCTGTCTGTTTATTCATATAATCATATCTTATTATGTGATATATACTAAATGTCTAAGCTAAATTTTGTTTATCTGTTTGTTTATGTGATTATGTCATATTATATAATACATACTAGTTAAATTTTGTTCATATGATTAGTTATAAAAATAATTAGCCAATTTTTTTAATTTATTTTAAATTTATAATAGTATCTGTTTTTTTAGTTTAAAAAATATTTATTTTTAGATAAGTTCTTAGGCTGTATAAATCAAGAGAACCAGTAGAAAGATGGAAGCCCATTTGGAAGACCTGAGTAGAGAGGTAACTCAAACTTTCGATGGTGCTACTGTAAAGACTAGACTTATAAAATGGAGCTAGAACTTGTGAAACTAGGCAAATGTGCTGATCTTTGAGGAGGAACCGGATGAACCAACCAAGCCACTGGAATTTCCGAGTTCTAGAGAAAAAGAGTACATGCCAGCAAACATGTGAATCAGAGGTGTATAGTTTTGATCTACCTTTCTGGACTATCTGGAATGGCAGCTTGGTGGAACTTGAATTGAATACTAAAGTAGTAAGGATATGTTGTAAAGTTAGTACCAGAATTGGGGTAAACTCTATAAGAGCATAGCGGTTCAATAGTACACCCTGACTGCAAGTATTGGTCTTAGCCATAGCGATACCAGGTCAGCTATAAGAATGGGATACAGAAGATTCTGGAAGGTTTAATACAAGGTCAAAGGTTCCTCATATGAGTGAACCATTTTAAAAACTTAGTGATTATAGCATATTTGAACCAGTATTGACCAGAGCATCTTGGTAGGTGTAGGTAAATGGGTGGATATAAGAACAGAATAGTTAAATAGGAAATCTACAAGCAGGTTCCAGGTATGGCAGCTAGTATAGAACCTTCGAGCAAACTACTTAAATTAGACAATGACTAAAATTATATGAGTAGCTAGTTGTATACTCTTTCTATGGTTGCCCTCTGTAGTTGTAAAGCAACCATTAGCTAAATGTACTATCAATAAAATCCTGGATCGCAAATACTTATCTTAATATTTAAAAAAAAAAAAAAATTTATTTTTATATATTATAAAGTTTTCTAAAATAAATTAAAATTTTTTAAAATAATACAAAATATTCAATTTTGATTAGATAATTTTTTTTTTTTTAATATTAAAGATGAATACTTGCAATTCAGGCTTTTATTAATAGTATATTTCAATTTTGTGACTGTATTATAACAATCACAAAAGGCAATTATAAGAAGAGTATACAACTAGTCATTCATATAACTTTAGTCATTATCTAATTTAAGTAGTTTATCTAAAGGTTTTATACTAGCTGTTATGCCTAGAACTCACTTATAAATCCTTTATTTAAACACTTTGGTTTCTGTATTGACTCACTTATCTATTTTACTAATTGCTTTAGTTTTCATCAATATATATATTAGATTTTTAAAGCAATTTACTTATATAAGGAACCTTTAATCTTGTATTAAACTCATTAGAGCCTTCTGTTATCCAATTTTTAACTAACTTAGTATTGCTATAGTTGAGACTAATGTTTGCAATTAAAGTAATTCTTAAACTACTACATCTTTGTAGAGTTTATACAATTTCAGTATTCTTTTTTACAACCTTATCAGTACCTTATATGTTTTTATAAGTTCTTTTATATTACCAATTTAGTTAGCTCTATATGATACAACTTTATATCTGGTTCAACCAGTAGCCAGGTTGGTGAATCTCTTTACCTAGAGTTCTTGCCTATATAGGTTATCTGCTTCAGATTTTTGTCTCTAGATTAAGATTTTTATAAGTGATATTATTAAAGATTATTATTATTATTTTTTTTTCCTTAAGCAGCCATGCTAGTACTTTATTGAGTTTTTGAAATTATATTTGTAACTATATAAATATCTTTAATATTTATGTCTAACATTATCTGGCCATCTTAATGGTACCTAAGTACAACCTGCTGCATTACTTCAAACAGAAGTAAGCTGCTTGTTTGACTACTTAAAGTTCATAATGAAAAGGTCTTCTTTCTTTTATAACAAGCTTTAAAATTGTCTTTGTTACTTTCTTCTCAATTTGCTTTTTTTTTTTTTTTTTTTTTTCTTTCTATTTGCCTTTTTATATTTTCTTGATTTCTTCAATTTCTCACCTTTTTTTCTTTTAATTTTATCTGTTATTCTAATTTTTTTCTTTCATTTGATAATTTTCTTATAACATATTCTTCATACTTGTTTATAGAATATGTTCTAGACTGTTATTGCTACTGTATTTGCAAACTGCTGTCTTGATCTTGTGCTTAATAGCTCTGCTAGTTTGTTTTGTGTTTCTTTTGAAATTAGGCCTTTTATTAACACTTCTCTTATTTTAACTTCTGTTGTCTCTGTTTTTCCAAAAAGTGCTATATATAGCATATATAGAGGAATTTGAATCTTTTCTTCTTCTTTTAATTTCTTTTATGCTGTTGCAATGATCACTTTTTGGATTCTCTTTTAGAGATTTCTTTGCCTTTTGCATACTACCAAGTATACTTGCATCTCTTTTACTTTATCTTAGCATACTTGGCATTCTACTGTTGTGTATATATCTGGTCTTCTTCTGTTGAGTTCTTTTAAAGTTGAAAGTTTATCTATTATATACTTAATAAATGCATTTCTTTTGAAACTGCTTCTTCTTGTTATGCAATGTATTTTCTTAGTTGGCTTTAGCCTTCTCTAAAAATAAATCTAATCATAAATTGTGATTTCTGCTTCTGGCTCTAAATCTTTAACTGCTCTTATTTTTTTCTACTTTGCTTCTAGTCTTGCATTCATTACTAACTTGTAAAGCAATCTTGCTAATATGTCAGTTCATCTGTTTTTTCACTCTAGACAGTACTCTATCTCTTTATAACTGACTTTTTCAGTCTGTATTTTTTTCCTACTTATTGTTTTCTTCTTTGCTAAACTATCAGCTTTATCATTTTATTTATCTTTACTATAACTTTTAACTTTAACTAAATCTATCTGAATGTTTTTCATTTTGACAAGATCTTTAATCTTCATTATCCATATTGCATTCTTCTTTTTAATAATCTTGTTTCTGTCTGCTTGTTCTAGACTTCTACCAATGTTTCTTATTGCAGCATTACTATCTGTATATATTTTTATTTGCTTCTTTATAGGTATTATTAAAATTGCTGCTCAAATTGCTACCAACTCTGCTACTGTCGATTTTTGCCATCCTTTTAGTCCAAATGCTACCTCTTCTTCTGGCTATTCTTGTATTTCATTTGTTTGAACCCATCCTATATTCATATTGTCTTTAGATGTTGGCT